TATTACAACTTTTGGTATTAGAGCAGTCATATCCAATCTGCATTGTTGTTCTTTATTATGTAGTGTCGTTTTTAATCTTTGAATCATTTGTTCTTTCTGAGTACAAATGCTCAGAGGAAATCATTGGTAAACTTAATTAATATTTTGAATAAAATGTTAAAATTAGTAACTGATGTAAGATGACAATTTTACAACGTGAATTTAGGATATCATTTATTCTTGAAGTTAAATTCCCGTTATCTTGAAATGCCAAATCAACATGCTTTTGATTCACAAAATATTAGGATAAAAAATGTTAATGTTGAAACTAACTTTTAGACTGAATGAGTAATAAAAATATTTCACTTGATTTAATTTAATTAGTTCTGTATAAAATGAATAATAAAACATAAAACATTAACATTGATGTTTCCAATTATTTTAAGTTGCTAAAATAATAACAATGTAAGAAAAACACTGATATTATTTATGTATTTGTATTTTCAACAAATTAACTACACACATTGTTTTACATTAACATAGTCTGTTTATTTTATTCTTCTCAGTTGACTATTTTGAATTTATATACCTATAAATAAAAAAAAAATATAATACAAAAAGTCACGTAAATTAACTCTTCCACGTGTTCTTTTCGTAGTCCCAGTTTGAGGACAACCCATCAATTGGATCAACACGTAAATCAATCATACGTTTCAATTGGGCTTGACGATATTCAAGAGATAAAGTTGGGTCATCAGCAGTGCTTGTCACTAAAAATGATTAACAATATGCAAATATTATAATATAGTAATAACCATTAGTGGTTTTAACTATAAAAAATTAGGAACTATAACAATACTTACGGAATTTACGAACTCCGACAAAAGAAAAAACAGCAACAGAAACCCAGACCATGACCCATCCAAATATGGCTTTCCATTCACCAGTTGGTGCATCTACTTCAACTAATGTCTGGCAAAAACTTGCTCTGTACAATTTTTTTTTCTCTTCTATACTCAGTTTTTTCCAGTCTCCCTTTTCCTTTTCGCGCAGAGCCTAGTGTTAGAAAGAAAATATAATATTATATTATACCATTCATTACTTGTTAATCAATTATAATAATTAAGCATTGGTACAATATATAAACCTACTGATAACTATATTTCATTAGTGTTCTAGACATGACACATGAGTATTTAATAAATAAAATATTGGTTTTTCACTCTTAACATTTTATACCAGTTAGATAGTTATTAAAATCTATAGCAATAATTTTTGTTTAAAAGTAATGAACACAGCACATTGGGCATAGTCTGTTTAGGCAAATGTTTTTAAATTTGTACCATTTTAAAAATATTGAATTTGTACAGATGGTTGGATAACGTTTAGAAACAATAATTTCCTTTCCATTTGAACCAACTTGGGACGATCAGTATTAGAATACTTTTAAAAAGTTAATTTTATTTGGGAAACTTAGTCGTTGACAATGACGCAACGCTCTCCAATATTAAAAAATTGTATATCCATTATTAAATTGAATTCAAATAATTAAAATGTCTTTAATATTAGAATATATGTTAAGTAAACCACAATTAAATATTATTATACAGCAATGTAGCTAGGTACATATTAACCACCCAAAAACATAAAACAATAATGGACTTTGGATTGGTAAGGTATATTTTATAACATCAACCAAACAGTCAATAATATTCACTTAAAGTTTAAATGGCACATACAAAACTCACACTTCTAGTTTCTCTATTTGCAAGTAAAACAGGATTAGGATTTGCCCAGACGACCAGTGCCCAACACGGTGTACTCACTTAGCATTCAACAGAAATTAATGCAACTATTAAATTGAATGTTCAATGTTTATGGAAAAAACTATTGTTATAATTTAGGAGTAAGTGCAGCAATAGTAGATCAGATTGTAGTCATACCAATGCTTATTATTATTACACGACAGAGAAACCCCATAGTCACATTATATATCAAGTATATGGATATCGTACCACTATTTCGGGGGTATTCTTCATAAACCTAACGCTGGGGAACGGAAAGGTGATGGAGTCGAAGTATTGGGGTTCGCCGTTCAGACCGTAGCCGACAATGTCGCGGCCGACGATCTTGTCCTCGCGCACCTGCATCACACCCTGTACGGGTGGCTTTGGCTCAGCCTGGAAGACGGCCGCCGTAGAGCTGTTGGCCGCCAGTTTGTTGTACGCGGACGGGCGCGCCAAGAACGAACGGACTATCGCACGGGAATACATCTGAAACAACGTCATGTTAATATCGAAATGTAAAGGTAGTTTAGTTTTTACGTCAGGTTTCGATTTTAATTGAAAAAATCATTAATTCCACTCACCTTGGTCGAACGTTATTACGTTATTAACGAACAGCTACAGCAGCGACACAGTACAAGAGGTTAAAAGGTAAAAACGATTTCGGAAAATTATTTCGACTATAATCGTCAAGGGCTTGAAAATTAAATTAACACATGTTATGATAAGCTGTCCAGTGTTGCAAGCGTGACATGAAAATCCGTTGCTCAGTTGGCCACTCTGTTGCTGTCGTTTCCCGGGTAATTTCATTTTTAAAAAATCCACAGGCATAATATAAAATTATAGAATGTTTTCTATTTAAACATAGGTATATCTCCATATCAACTGTGCAACGGTGCAGAACTCACATTATCAGTCAATTATAAAGTTGGACACAACGCCAGTTGTACATCAATCACATCCATTATCATTCGTAAAAGCAAAATTTAAATCCTTCCTAACGAAAAAAATCTATTCTCTTGTACCTACAATACAACATAATTTAATAATTGTTTGTATAGCAAATTACAAGGCACCAAAATAAAGACAGTAAAAAATGTTTCCAGGCTGTCCAGTTAATATTAAATGTTTTAACAAATTATCAAGGCTACCATTATATTATATACAAACCTATAAATTAAAACACTATTATGGCTACCCATTTAATCATAACGACTATATTATGAGAACTTATATGATAGTTGTGACGCTTTTCATTCAAAGTCCAACGATATGTTCTACAGATCACATCCAAATTATTTTAAGTTCGTCGATGTTTTGAAAAATATAAGTACAATTATAAGATACCTTTATAAAACTTAGTACCTTCTCACTTAAATGGTCGCAAAACAAAATATATAGTGGACAAATAAACGAACAAAAATTCATTACAAATACTATATGACACAATTGCCACAGTTAAAATAAAACCAAATTACCGAGTTAGAATTTATAAAAAAAAATTTCAAGTAAGCTTTTACTAGTGCCTTAATAGGTAGCTACAGCTATGTCATGTTGTGATAATCAATAAAAAATTATGACAAACATTTTAAAAGAATTATGATAATAGTATATAATTTTATATTTTTAATTATTAATTAATTTGCATACCAGGGCCACAATTTGTATGTGCCCTAAAATAGTAAAATGATCTGGGCCAAAATTAGTACGAATCCCAAAATATCTCTAGCATTCAATTCGCAAGAAATTTGTACCGCGGAACGCAACTAATAGTGAAATCAAAAAATCACTCAATAAAATTATTAAGTCTTTATGAAATTGTATTAAATGTATAACTAACTTTTAATTAAAGTCTAGTGATATAAAATATCTGAAACTTGCAGCAAATTGTGGCCATGATATATCATAATTTTCAGAAATATATAGATGGTTGAAAATGCGTACTATTCAAATGACGTTTAAAGTTTAAGTGACGAGGTGTTTATTACTTTATTGTTGTTCGGACTGAATATAACTCCCTATTGCGTAAAAACTTCAATTCAGAGGTACGTCATTGTCGCTGCTACTACGGAGACTTTATTGATGGAAGGGTGGCCAAAAAAGACTTGGATGTTAAACAGTTATATAGTATAACTGTTAGTTATAATTTTGTTGGAATGTAGGCACTATCATCAAATGCTTTAAAACGACAATGCCTGAAAGTGATCCAATTTTTGGTGGATATTTTATTTGATATTTCCTTATATCAGTGGCACCAGAAATATTGTAATAAATGTACGATACACGATTTTATGATTTTTGGTAAAAGGGAAATCGTTACGAAAATAGAAGTGGACTTGGAGGTATTTTAGTACTTACCCGCGATAAACCGAAAAACCGAACTCAGTGATGTAGTGAAATAGCCTAACTATAACGCCGTGGGGTCCTCATTTTCCGGTTTCAGTTTTTTTTTAATTTTAATACCTATAACTTGAAAATTAAATACAAGACTTTTCTTAAGTTATTTTTATCAGAATTTAAAAAAAAAGTTTAACATAAAGAATATTTAATTTTAATATATTATATTTATACCAGAAATACATTTTTTACAGTTGTGTTATTATTAACTATATTTATACCCAACTTTTTAATAATACAATTTATTGTAAATAGTATAATTTATTAAATTTGAAAGAAGTTTTACGGTTCTTCATTATATTTATTAATTTAATATGAAGGGCGGAGGTACTTGTTTTCTAATTTTTATGATCACCGTGCGTTGATATCATCACACCGACGTTGGTTAGCTTGAGACGTATAAGATTTGACAACAATTTATTGCAGTTGAGACTTTTTACTACCTACCGAAAAAAATCTATTTTTCAAATTTTCATGCAACCTATCAATCACGTCTGTGTCTCGAGCACATTCACAGTCTAGGAATCTCAGCATATAAGTAATAACAATTCCTTTATTATAAACACAGATATTATTTTCCCACCCTGTATGATCATTTATAACAAAACAAATTTAAAACATCTCGTTGCCTATTTACAAATATACCAACAATAGGTATTGCAGGTACTGGCCGCAATAGTCTACGTTTTTAAAATTATTTCTATAGTATTTACTATTTTGATTTCCGTTCCTACCATCTACCTACCTGATTAATATTCAGATATTTCGTCGGACCCTTGGTGTGCGTACTCTGCTTGGAAGTTATAATTTTCAGACTCCTGCTTATGGTATTTTTGTGAAATGAATTCATTTCCGGTGAGTGTGCACAACAATAGCCATTGCAGTTATAGATGACATTTCTATTTTACCGATATTTTTTATCCTTGTCTTATGAACAGGCGTACTCGTAATGCTCACACACCTATGTTTTATTAATGTTAATGGTTTTAGATCAGCGAACAAGATAAGGACGAATTCCTCAACTATTTGGACCAACATGGTATTTTGGATAAACTGACCGACGTACTAATCATGTTGCATAGCGAACAAGAACCACCCATAGATCCCGTCGAGTAAGTAAAAAAAAGCGTACATTTGTGTTTCGATTAAAATAAAATAACATCTCTGCTTTATTATAACATTTTAAACTTCGGTCAATGGCCGTCATAATGAAACAATTCGACAATCGAATTAGTCGGCTACAATTACAATATAGGTATTGTCATTTAACAGAGATAAGAATATTAAAAAAAAAAAGATATCCATTGTTATGATTCACAACCCGAATTCATGAAGTATTAGCAGTTTTATTGTGTGTTATTACTTATTAGTAATGGTTTTACTGAATTATTGGTAACAAAAAAAATCTATATATTAATGTCAAAATGGGAATTTAATAGTTACCTAGCTATTTGTTATTGATTAAGTATAATAGATATTTTGTTGATAATAGTATAGAATAATGTAAAAAAATTTACTAGAATGGTATACAAAAATTTAAATAATTATAGAAGAAAACATAAATTTCTCTAAAAGGTAAGTTTTTGTCGAACGGATTTATAACTATTCAATTGCGATAGAATGAAACTTTTTATAGCATTTTCAGCACGAGTTTTCAAGTACACGTAATATTGCAGTTTCTGCTTTGTAATACTATACGAAGTATATAAATCCAAATTATTGTTCTCGCATATAATTGTAAACAGCGATTATACAAACTTTCAACTGCTCACAAGCACTTGAGATTTTTTTAATTGGTAAATGCTCTATACCTACGCAGTAGTGTAGAATTCCATATTTTGTTATTTCATATTTTCAATGAAGACTTTTTTCTCTAACGCTTTTTGTATTTAAAATAAGAGATTTAAATACTATTTTATAATTTTATTTCAGTTTATTATACTACACATTAAAGTATGTAATTATAGGCATATCATGATGTATTATTATATAGTTACTGCATATTATGAATGTATAATAGTATGTATTTATGTACTAACAGCGTATTTTTTAGTCAAAACGTTTATACTTTGGTGTGAAGTGTGTTGTATATTAATAATCGCAAATTCGCAAATTAAAATAAACTCGAATTCTTGGTAAAAACAAGTGAAAAATAAAAAAATATCTAAACTTTAAAACTGCATCCGTGTGAATGTATCACACAAAAATAAACCGGAAAGTCACTCTACTGTATATCTAGTAGGTGCCTTGTGTACCTAGGCAATGAGTAGGACACGTAGGTCGCTGTAATAAAAAAAAGAAAAATCACACATCATTGTAAAAAACCGATACATTCACATCGCTCCACTCAGAAGCTAAAATAGTTTTAAAAAAAAACAAATTTAAAAATAAGTTATTATGCATCATTGTCAGTACCTATTTTATACTTATAGATATTATATTTTTGTAAATATATAGTACCTACTCAATTAGTATGAATTTCTATGACTGAATCTAAAATGTGTACAAATATAGGTCCGAATGTATTCGAAAATCCGTGGAAGAGGCTAGGGTGTGGCTGTAAAAATGTTCTCCCCCCTCTCATTAATTCGAAAAGTTACTATTTCCAAAAAGTCTAAACACCAGTATTTTTACACTCAATTTTTGCAATTTGCAATTTCATAATATACGATTTTACAATTCTAAATAATACTTACAAATATGCTATGTACACTGTACACCACGGTTGATCGGACACCCTCGCTATAATTCAAGATAAGTAGGCACCTACACACATAAAGGGCACACAATTGAATATTTGTCTTTTCTCATCTGTATTGTATCATTATTGTATGTATATCTATTCGTTGTATAGTTTTAACGTTTTTTTTTTTATACTTTTACAACCCTAAATAATGGGTTTGATTTTTTCAAAGGATGTACAACTTCAGCTATAAATTAGACTAACGTTGTGAAAAAGTGTACAGAATAGGTACACATTTTGTTTTATAATATACAATATGTACATGCTTCAGGGGCGTATCTATGGTTGCGGTTGTATGGGCTACATTCCCTTTCCACAAATGTCCGGGAACTTTATTTATTTATTTATATTGAATACAGGATATAAGCCCAATTATATATTTACATTGTATATATTGCATTAAATAATATTTAACAAGAAAATTTAAGGATGAACAGACAATAATATTACACTAATAACTAAGAAATTGTGGGTCCTCATTGGTGAGTTTCATCATACGGACATTATGGTGATTAGTTAAATAATTACAGCTGCTAAAAAGAATGTGGAAAAGAAAAGAGTATCTGGAACAAAAAGTAGGAACTCTGAAATTAACTTTAGACAGGAGGGCAATTCATAGAAATATAGTTAATTTGTATGCGTTGATATTGCAATATTTTTTTTATTAGTACATTATTTGTTAACATTTTTTCTTAAAAAAAATTTACCAAAAACTGTCTCCTTAAGTATTCATATATATAGGCCACATAATATAATATATAGGTACAGTGGACGCCGCTTATAAGACTCAAGGATATAAGGTTCAGTCGCTTATTAGTTATTAGACTCTAAATCGTCTGAAACAGTCCGGACGTATCCAAATACATTATAAAAAATTCGGTTATAAGACTCAATTCAAATTTCGTGAAAAAAATTGTAAAAAATAAACATTTTTGGTTAAAATTTAGAAATAAATTGGTTTTTTTTGGCTTTATCATGTGTGTATGTACGTATAACGAATTTCACATTTTCCAATATATTTCCTGTATAATAGTTCATAACTCAAAACAAACCAAAATTACAATTTTTTTTCATAAATAATTAATAGGTACATTATACATACATCTTTTATATTTTTTTATTAATGTATGTAATCATTTCTATGTGTATTATAATTTAAATTTTTTTATCAGAATTTTTTTAATTTATTCAATAATAAGTATGTAATATGTAATATGTATTAAAGTATTAAAATTAAAGCAAAATATGTAGTAAAATAAAATTCATAAATATGTAATTACATGTTTTTTTTTCCACTTCACTTATAAGATTCATTCGGTTATAAGACTCACATTGTGCTGGTCCCAAAGTGAGTCTTATAAGCGGCGTTCACTGTATATAATATTTCTACTATCTTACGTCTTATAGTCTTATACGGTGGCGAACTATATAGCTATTCAATTTCACACCAATATAATATCAAACTGGTTTAATAGACACGACACGGCTTTAATGTTTTAAACTTATCAGTAAAATTTTTCCAATAAAAAATAAAAACCTTAACCCCCTACCCGGAAATAAGACTCTGAATATAAGCTCCTCATATACGTGTATTACACGAATACGTACCTACAATACGTCATCAATCATAGTTTTCAAAAGATAATGTTTAAATCTACGCGGTTTTTTGTCGTTTGGACGAATTTTTCACTACAGATACGTGAGGAGGAATATGTACGTGGACAACCCGGACATTGAGGAAATAATCGACTTGAAAACCCAGATCCAGAACGCCGGCGTTGAGCTGGCTGAGCTTCAGAGGACCAGGGACGAACTCAGAGCTCAGCTGGAACAATATCAACACGAATCGCAACAGGACGAGGATTACGAGGGAGAACTGGGCAGAGTGTCAGACAACGGAGACTACGTTGATACCGCCGCATATTAAAAACCCTCGGGCATCTGGTCACCGGTTCGCTGTCACATAATATATTAAATACATAGTAACTTACTAATGATAATTATGTGGTCGTATGATTTGTATTTATTTTTTTTTTATCACAACTGCGAGTCTGCGACGAACCTGCAATCAATGCAATCGGATGTCTAACCATCGACGGTTATAACTTATAACGAATATAATATCCGCCAACAGAGCCAATGCCTGAATCGATCAGTAATGTACTAATGTACTCCATACCTCTATGTATGATTCGTTTTTCTGTAATTTCCTTATAGTCTTTCACTTCCCAAATGTACCATCAACAGTTCCAATTTGCTACCATAAACCACTTCTGAAGTTGAACATCAAAGCAGTGTTCCTGTACAATAATATTAGTGTTAAAAGACAAAAAAAAAAAGATTTCGTTCATTTTTAGGATAGACATCCTACATGGAGATAATATCTAAAAAAAACGCAGTGTGCGTATATATATAGCACACTTGCACAAAAAGTATTTAAATTTTATTCCAATGTCATATTTTTAGTTAAAACTTTTAATGAATTTACTTAATTTATTTGGAGAGTATAGTATAAGTAAAATAGTGAACCATAATATAATTGATTGTTGACTATTCCCATAATAATTATTTAAGGGAAATAAGCACCACCAGAATCCATAAAAAAAATATATCCAATTAGGTATAGTTGTCGGCATAAATAAATACAGAGTTGATTTTATGGCAAACTACGTATTATCAAGACATTTAAATCATCGTAAAAAAAAATGAATAAAATTAAAAATAATAACAATTAATAATATCGATTAAGTCGTATTAGAAATGAACTCCGTTTTATCGATTTGCGATCATTAAAAGAACACGCGTCGTATACAACGACATGGTGTTATTTAAAATACTTACGCAAACAACGACGGCGATTATAATAATATACGTAAGTATAATCCTATACAATAATATAACATTATAGGTAGGCACATCATCATCTTGGGATTAATTACGAAATCCCCCCACGTGCGTGGTGTGCATAACTAAGTATCATATTTCAAGTAGGTTATTAATTATCGTGTACAACCTGCAAAGCCTGCAAACATAATATAACTGGTACAAGTAATAATATCATAATATTTTATCTTATAAGTACCATAACAGACACTAGTTTATTGTGATACAAACGGCGTCATGATAAAATGTGGTGGCGATATGTGTGTACACTAATAAAGTAAAAAATAAAATAATTAGCGATTCAATATTGGTCTCCGGCAGTGGTGTATTGGTAAATATATTTATGGGTATACGCACTAATAAAATATGTATAATCTACCAAAAAAAAATTTTCTCGCTTCGCTCGTAGTCAATAATCATTACAATAATTAGGTGACTTAATCTCTTATATTATATTATTTTTATTTTATTTCTTTATTAAATTTTCAGTATTTTTACTAATATAATAATATTAAAATTAACACTGATCATCAATGGAACCGACTAGTATTCATTCTTCTTTGTCAAACGATACTACGATAAGTACAATAAGTCGTAAACTCGAATAGCAAGATTCAAGAAGGAAAATACCCATTATTGCAGTAACAATAATTTATAAATAAATCTATAAATAAACACCATAAACCATTTAATTGGCCATAGCCTGATAAACACTTAATAACATCAGTGGTTACAAAAACATAACATCGCAAGAAACACATTTGCCGCGCGTTATAAATGACATAATACAGGTTGAGAACCATGGACTGAGCATTCATACTCCATATTGGTAATATTACATAATATTTTAATAACATCTATTTTTCAAAATGTTATTAATAAATTTAATTTAAAATTCATTATTATATTAAAATAACAATTTTTCCTATGAATAATTGGTTTTCGAGTTATTTTAAGAGCGTATACCCGTAAAATGATATTTTACATTGGGTATACGCCGAAAATCGAAAATCTGCTGACGGGTATACGGCGTATACCCGCGTATCCGTACCAATACACCACTGGTCTCCGGTCATCTCATTACATTAATATTAAGTATATAAGCTACAACACCTATTGTATTTATTCACGATTAGTATTGTGAATTATTAAATGACTATTTTTTTTTTTTTTTAGAAATTATTATACATTATTATGAGATTACCGGTTGACCCTTGCGCTGTACTGCGTACAATCATTGTGAACATTCATTTAAAAAAGGGATTGTTTTCTACGTCCTGTAGTCGTATACGGTCGTTACATTGGCAAAAATGTTTTTGTTGGATCCGTATCCGTGCCCAAGGCGTTTGTGAATTGCGTATCCATTGGCGTAGAGACGTTGGCCAATGGTCAATTTTCGTTTTATTTAAACTTAGTTTTTAACGAACTTGCACTGGGGCATTCAACTCCAAAGTGATTGAGTGGCGTCAGAAGCGGAAGCAATAACGCACCGTTTGGATTATTGAATGTGGCGGTGCACTATGGTGCAGTATTTGCTGGGAAAAGGGAATGTTGACATCAAAAATAACATACATGTATGTGCATGATTGCATTACAGAGCATAACATATCATTAAACTATACAAATTTAGGAGGAGGATCGTATAAGATTTTCCAACATCATGTGTCACTGTGATGGTGCCCCATATAATGTAGTATAATATACAATTATATTATAGGTAAGTACTATTCATCATTTAACTCGGAAAACCGCATCACCGTGGTCCATAGTCTTCGGACATAAAGTCGGTTCATTAAACATATAATATCATTATTACATAGGTACCTACTCAGTATTATAATTATTAACTTGTAACTCGGACCAGTGAAATATGTTCTTTTTATGTTCACAAAATACATGTCTACACCATACCACGCGTATTATAACGACAACAAAGCCGAGTTAATTACCCATTTGTGCTGGAATAACCATAAACTGCGCATAAACTACGCCGTTTCGATGATTAATATTATTATATTATGCCGTATACTGCTAGCTGGTACAAAACAGTAAAATTGTCAACCGCCGTTCGCCGCCGACGTCTCGTACCCATTCAAGAACTTTTTTCATTAATTTTTACACACATCGCGGGTAGTCGGTAGTCTGCGGCAGACGGCTTTCAGTTTTCACGACATTATTTCCAAACCGACGTTCTCTGTCTGTACACCATATGAAGCACATTCAATCATAATATATAAGTGTGTGGTCCTAACGAGGGAGGGAGCACTAGCTGTAGAATTTTCCGCTCGAACAAGGCAATTTAATATGCTAATTATTGGCGGTGGCGCGACGGTACGGTGAAGCAGCGTGTCCCTGTACCCAGCTGGCAGCTGCCCTGACAAGTATCGACCGCAGTCACGCTTCGTATAAATAATGAAGACATGTCACTTGTCTTTCGTTTTACACAATATTATAAGAGTATTGGTATTCGCCGCGTAGGTATATAGGCGTGTGGTGTTTTATCTTCGAAATGGCCCGATCATCATTCTATGCGATTATAAAAACGAATTTCGTAATATATATGGCACGTGTCTATGAAAAACTCGTTCGTTAACATTATACTGTTATAGACAATGTGGGCACTTACACGTGCAGGTGTTCAAATCGATTTTCAGTGCCGGGGATTCACAAACCAAATACCCGAACGGCATCGGTGTACGTCCTCTATAGTTTTTCAATTTCGATTTTCAGTACCAGGAATTCACAAACCAAAAACCCGAACGACATCGGTGTACGTCTTCTAATTTTCCTATAGGTGTAATCAGCCACCCGTCGCTTAGCGTGTTGCTTTTTTAATTATTCAAAGATTTGTCGAGTCCTAAATCGGAATCCGAGACATGGATAGGTACGTTCGAACTGGGTACATCATACGCATGGCATAACTACCTAAAAGTTAATAACCTAAAAAGATGCGTTGTAGTATTTATGAAATATTTTGGTCAAGTTGGTAGTGCAGACACAGGGTGTACAAGTGTATCAATCCACTTTAAGAGTATACCTATGCCAATTGAATATATTATTTTGTGAAAACCGTTTCACAAGCAAAAGAGAACCAATACCACCCAGGCACAGTTGACATTTTAATAAATCGAATTCGGAATTTATACACTATGCATGATATACGTAGAATAGATTACAATATTTTCTGTGTCGCTGCATTTTTATTTTTTTATACTATTAAATATTAATACTCAACAAGTCATTTAAGTTCAATACAAACATAATAAATAACAGATATTAAAACAATAGTAATAAATTGTTTATATTAATGGTATCGAAAAAATAAAAACGCTACGACACAGCAAATATTGTCTTCCTTGTCGTGGATACCTATGCATTTTTAACTATGACTGTATATAGCTCAGTGGTTAATTTTTTTGCCAAACCGTTTTTCTACTATAATATTCTATATTATATCATACGTTACAACCAGCAATGGTATACTACCATGATACCACTGTTCGGTTACTTTGAACTAGTATTTAAATATATATTTTTAATTTTAATTTTAAATACATATTTAAAAACCAATTCAAAGTTTTTTAATGTTGATCGGATATAATCGGTGCCACAAAAGTTGTTGCGTAAAAACGTTTTTTTTTTTTTTTTAATAAATAATTTTACAACGCCATATAACATATTATAGTAGGCACTATACACCACATAAAGTTCTTCTCTGTATATTGTGGACGTTTGGTAAAGCTACTGAGAGTACCGTTTCCGAAAGTTAGTTCCAGGCAATAAATTACGGGATAAATGTGGCATGCCCTTAAAGAAGAAGTAGCCAGTAGGTACTTATATCATCGAATAAAATAAAAAATATATATATATCAACATAAAGTAGATATTTTTATTATATATATATATATATATACCGTGGTTGCCGCAGTCTACGAGTGGCGGACTATATTCCTGTATAATAAGCATTGAGCACACACGATGAGGATTATTGCGGGTCTTGAGCGTTTGAACAAACAAATCAAACGAGTGTACGAGTGTACGAAGAACAAATAATAAATAACCCCCCCCCCCCCCCCAGAACAAAAACTCAAATGCGATTTAGGGGCACGGGCGCACACCTAATAATCGTTGCGTATCGAAGAATTATGGAATTCTCGTACGTTAAGTTTGAGGAAAACAAACGGCATAAAAAAAATACGTCCAACGTAAGTAGTCGCGGATGCTATCGTACCCAATATAATTTATATTATACAGAATATTAAGTGTACATGCATACATTTTTTAACAAGAATAAAATAGTTTACACGAAGGAAAATGCACAACACAAGTTGTATTATAATTTGTTTATATATAACGTAAAAGTCGAACAATAATTTATTATATTACGCGGCGCTTGAATTGGATGGGTCGCTGGGAAAGTGGGGAAGGGGTAACTCTAACTTTCTAAAAATATTTTAGAACACCCCTTCTAAATTCTAATTAATATCCAAAATCGATGAGACATTTGAAATAACTACAGACAAGTACAATTTTTTTTTTTTAATTTTTTGCATCCGGCCCTTCCTAATTTCATATCCAATCCAAGCGCTGATTATATTATGATGTCGTGTATTGAGTACCTATCTAAAATAGCGTGTACGCGCAACGATAAAATAATACAAATTATTTAAAAGAAAATCAAAACACACAGTAATATCCAACACGCACAATAATAACATGATAACATATAGTAAAATTCAACTTGTGAGACTAGAATATTTTGGTTCTAATTCTAAAAATTAATTACATTAAATTACAAATTAATAAGTAATAACTATACATTATAGTATTGATGCCAGCCAAAATAACTAAGCAATAATAAATAGTAGGTAATAACAATAATAATTAAAACCTATAATAATATTATAATATATATATATGTATATATAAATATGTTTTAAAATGGTTACTTAAATTCGAAATATCTAAAATAAATAAATAAAATATATAATATTTAATTCAAAATGTATTTATATAGTTTAATATTTTATAATATAATATAATAAATATATTGTCAATAAGTTATGAGACGGAAGTACTCGGTTAATCCGTAAGAGTAATTTTTTTCTTCTAATATCACGTATTTAATATTATTGTAAAATTTAAATTAGGTAGGTACATAGTATTACGAAATATATATTATACTATGAAAACCTCGGTCACACTACGGCTATATATTTTGGAGTCGTGGAGATTATAACTTATATAGGTAACCTATTGCTGTATAAGTAGGTAGTAAGTTATGCCAGAATCGAAACCGCGAGCCGATCGCTCTGTGGGTGGGGTGTAGTGATAGGGGGAGGGGGAGTCGGGTTTATTTTTTCGTTTTAAGTCGAGGATGGCGTCGGCGGCAACAACGTCTGCTGTAGGTTCGCCTTCCGACAGTTCCACAGCCATTTGATGATCCTGGCGTTCCGCTCGACGATGGACGGCAGTTCGGACGAAGACGACCCTCCTCCGGATTTCCCGATCGGTCTGCCCGTCCCACCGTCACAACCGTCACTGTCCCTATTGCAGTTCGTGTTGTTGTTATTGCTGCCGCCACTCACCGAACCCACCGAACTGTTTGAGCCGCCGAAACATACCTGCGAGCCAGTCTCCGAATCGGTTTTTATGATCCACCTGTTGAAAGAAAACGCACACACAGGTTATTATAATATACGTATTTCAATATGGATAGGTACAAGGCTATTCGTCAAGCATGCTCAACTGCTCAAGCTCATTTTTGCCTTTAATTATTTATTTATTTATTCAAATTCTGGTTTAGATGGATACGCCAGCATTTTCAAAAAATCATCTGCGTAACAATTCACAGTCAACAATTTTGGTACTAGTTACAAAAATATAAGTCTGTACTTTGTATGGTTTGTAATGTTTGCATATTTTCCACAGAATACTTCTTAAATTAGTGGTGAAAAACTTAAATCAAGAAACGAATCACTCTTGCAAGATTTTCTACCACCACAAACCGTTTATTAATTTTTCTCCCAAACACCCCCAATTTACTAATATGTTGAAAAATAACAACATAACTTTAGAAATAAAATAATGTATAATAACTAATGACGTAAATGTTGTGGAAAACTATTTTAAACTAAATATATTTACACTAGACAAATTAGTTACAAAAGGTAATTCAAATTTAAATTTTGTATTCTTATAATTTCTTTTATGTTTGAATTAAAAATAGAGGAAAGTAGGTAAGTAACCACTTTTTACAATTTTACCATACTAATTACTTATTATGTTAAATATAAAGTTACCTAAGTACAGCATAATTAATGTATTTTTGAAATTAAAATATTGTAAACCACTTGAGATGAGTCAAATGACCATCAGTTGAGGGCCACTTCCTTAAATATGGCGTAGTTGATTATAAAATAAGTACAACGGAAACACAACTAAATTATGACAAATTTAGGGAAACGTTTTGCATACCGTTAGTTTTTCACTAAAAAAAAGCTATATTAAATAATACAATGTAAACCCCACGCGCATTGACGTATTTACATTGTACACTGTATAAGCCAATCAGACCTTTGCAGAAAAATGCCACAGTCCGTCAATTAGGGTATACCAACAGGTACAACTAATTCATCTCAAAACAAAAATTTGATCAAAAGATTTCTTTAGGGAATTCGCAATTGAAAATAAAAAAAAACTATCATTTGATTTGACTTTATTCACGGATAATTGAAAAAATGAAAGGCACGTGGACTACGAGTACTCGATCACGAATTTGGGAACTGATGTGTATATAATCGAGCACGTTTGGCGCATATAATTATATTATATTGTGTTGCGTAGGTATCGTGATGGTATAAAATATAATAATTTTAATAACAATTTGAGTATAGATTATCCAATAGGTATATATTAAAATATAAAAAGAAATGTAGGTACTTACAGACTATAATAATATAGTGTCGAGACTTTGGGAGTATACCTACACCTATAATTCATTTCCAGCCGAGTTAATTTATATCACCCGTGCTCTCTTGCAATTTATTTTTAATATAAAAAGCACTATTTCACTACACCCGAGTACCTGACAGTTAATTTTGGATTTAGTAGTCCAATAAATGTTTATTTAGAAAGCTTACGTAGTGTGAATAATAGTAAATACATTGAATTTAAATTTAATTAAAAATATGAATTTAATGTTGATCAAATGAAAAATGATTCAATTATTTATCGATTCAGGAAGTCTATGATATGTCTTATACCACGCGTGTAATAGGTATGACATATTGCACATATAATTATATTTACAGGCGATAACCATTCGATCAGCACAGAGCGACATAGCCGCCATTACTAGTGATGCATGATAATTATACCTAATCGATTTATAACCTATACCTAGTAGTATGTTAAATATTAATACAAAATGACATTTTACTAAATTCTATAATCAAAATATCGAATGACATATGAGTAGGTTCCTATATTTTTTTTACTTATTTCGCAATGAGGGTTATAATTAATTATTATAGTTAAAGTAATAAGCAGGGCATTAGCCAAGGGACGGAATGGGACCATTACCCCCATAGATCCAACAATAAAATTGCCCCACCTGAGTACCTAATGATACGGGTTTCAACAGTTAAACTACTTGGCAACAATGTCGCTCTTAAAATGGCAACTGCCCCCCGTTCCCCTTACATTGTGGTCTGGCCCCGGAAAATGGTAATAAGTAGGCTGTTTATTGTTCTATCGGACGCGCTAAAAATGTGTGCTGCACTATATAGACACAAAATCCTGCGCACGCCTATTAAGTCCTTCTTAGACGTCGGAGACAAAAAATAAGACGACCAAAGTATATTTAAACGCGGTGTAGTTCTTATGTATATTAAAGTTAAACAATAATAATTATCGTCACGGCGATATCAAATGTAAATCAAATTATAACTGCAATCGAAAACGGTAAATTATATCTTCTAAATACTACGGTTTTCTCGGAATAGATGTTCACAGAATAAACTATAAAAGACCTATAGTATATATTATTGTTCATCTTACCCACCAGTCATAGAGTATATCCTTATTTTTTATAAACGTGCCGACGGCGGCGGTGGTTTGCGCACCTTACACTCTAGTCTGGATATATTGTAATATAATAATATAGTCAATAAGTCAATATTATGCGTTACCTATATAGGTACTCATTAAAGACCAAATTTTTCCCGAGTCGAATTCCAGTGCTCTTTTTCACCCGACGCTGCAGTTTGAACCATAACTATACGAGCTCGATTTTCGTCTGAGCGCACGATTATGCGTGAGTACGCGATTTGAATTCAATATTGTAACATTAGATACCTACCTACTACGATTATATTATTGCAGCAATTACGGTGACGACCTAACGCGTTATTGTCGAACACAATATCATGGTACATCACGGTCCACGGTATACGTCGAAAGCGCATCAGCCCATCTGAAATTCACGATCTACACCAACAAAATCGTCTATTTACGTAACTACGTTCGTGACGCGAATAAATAACAATAAACATCGATCTGCCTCCGCAGGGCGTTTGAAAGCGAAGGTAGGTATGACTACGGGTGAGCAATTTCTGAGTGAAACGAATTAGCGTGGTTTACATATTTTAAATATTAAAGCTTATATATACCTACCTACGCACATATTATTGTTATTATACAGAACGGATTTTCAAACAGTCTTAGCCGTTGCGGCGGCGTAAGCGCCTACTACAGGTGGCTTATGTACTTATATAGGTACGGAAGAAACAAATAAAAGCATATTTTGCGTTTTCAAACGTTTGACAGGTTGAGAGAGAACAAACCGTTGACTCGTGGTCATGTTAAGTTTAAGCAGTGTAATACCTAGGGAATTACAAAAGTATTAAATGTGTATGATTATAGGGTTAGACACGATACGCGATTTACCCCGCATTCAACAATTATCACTCACAAAAACATTGTAAAAATAAAATGGAATAAATATTAAGTATAATTATAGGCATGTAGTACGCGGTTAGATTGTGTAGGCACTAGTGAGCACTACAATTATTGATCTTATAATTCACTTAGTAAACACGTATACTGTATACCTAAATATATTATTTTACCTACAGGCTAAAGGTATTACTGTATTAGGTAAAGTATTTATTGAAATGCGTCCAAACAACATATAGAACTTATTATAATAATTGTAGTAAATATAATAAATATGTGAAACTGGAATACACAAAGGCAATTTGAATTTATTTTAAATTTGTATGAACCGAATTAGTTCGAATTTATCGTTATTTGATTATTGATCATATTAATTAGGTAAGTACTTATATAATCAATTTAATGCAATCACTACGTAGTAATAATGTAGCATTGAAGATTGATATTTATTGTGAGTATTTCACTGATTTTACGATAAATACTTAAAATACAAAACACAAAGAGGAGTAAATCCTGAATAAATCAAAATAAAATAATGATAAATTATATTTGTTCGATAAATCGTCCACAGCATTCTGAACGTGGAAACGTGGAATAAAAAATAAATAAACAAGAATATAATGTTACTATAAAATATAGGGTTTTAAATCTGCTAAATAAAAGTGAAATATTTTTACAAGAATTTATGGACTTGTACACAGTCATGACAGAAATGAAAATACAAAGATATATAGATGTATACATGTCATTGGTATAGTACACAATTATTAATTATTATTCTTTGGAAACGATAAAAACAAAAAGAATACGTTTTAATGCTTAATAGTGTTTTTGAAAGTAATTAAAAAAAGTAATTGTCGTATGATTCAAATACAATTATTGAAAACAAAATTAAATTAGGTGCACTCCATTGGGTAATAATTTAGTTTATATATTTTATAAAATAATTTTCTTTCATTTTTATAGTAAATTAAAATATTATAATTATACATATCACCCAACTTTTTAATGGTTCCTTTCTTTGTCACTAACTACTTGTATAACTCCCCAACACCCCATCACCCAATTTTCTTATAAATAACTCTACGTCTAACGTTTAACTTCTACCCTCCGATCAAATTGTTCACCATCGCCGTACATATAGGTAGGTATAATGTAAGTTGCATTGAACGCATGTAACTTATTAAGCTGTATATTTACTTAATGTTCAAACCTAATACCTACTATAATACATTAATACTTAACGAACTGTTCAAAGTGTTTTCAAAATTCATTATTATTTTAATTAATAGTTTAAACATAAACGTGATATTTAATATAGTTAAAAACTGTTTGAAACCCAATGGTTTGTTATTTGGATCTCTTATTTTTCCTAATGTCTGGTTGTAAATTATAAACTTTAATAATGATTTTAATTTTTAATAAAAAAAAAAAACATGTTTATATATAATAAAATAACTGTCGAAATTAATTGTACAACAAAGTTTCAATAAAAAAAAAATATATATAGTAAAATGAGTTTTATGAGGGTTTCTTGTTACATAACCGTATTGTATTAAATGTATTTTAATGATACTGCGCTGCAGTTGTATACACTTCGCATAAACATATATTGTATACTGCTACCCGGGCAAAAGGCTACGCACATTTATGACTATTAAACGTGCCTAGATTAATCGTTTTTTACATACCTACATTATATG